TTGGAATTTTAGAATATGTTTGTGCTAAATAAAATACAGAGCTAGCATCTGAATGTCTACCCATACTGAAATAATCTCTTATAATCGATTGCGGGCCACATGATACATCATCGAATATAATGAAAGAATTTTTTTTTAGTTAGATTTGGTTTTATAACTTTGTCAGCGTCTGTGAATATAAAAAAATTAGCACCCTTTATATCATCTATTATTTTTTTTAATAAAATATATTTTTCCTGATTAGAAGTTTTAGAGTATAAATAAATATTCTCAAATCTTAATCCGTTTTCACGTGTGATTAGGTTATAAATTATATTTGTTTTACCCGAACCACTAGGTTCAACTATAATAGCACGTATAGTGTCGGGTAATAACGGACCGTGTCTTGACAATTTTTTTTATTACTTGAGTATCAACATTTAAAAAATCTAGTTTATCTTTCTGTTCAATCAAATTAATTTTCTTATAAATACTCTAGAATTTATAATTTATTATCAGTTATTGATGACGCGTTCAACTCTTAAGTGGAAATCGGATAAGACTGGTAAAGGATTTATAAACTCTCTTATAAATAGTCTTCCGTTTGAAGCTTACATTCCTGGTTATCAGTTTTGTGGTTCTGGTACGAAATTAGAAAAGCGAATAGATCGTGGTGATAAAGGAATAAACCCGTTAGATAACGCTTGTCGCGATCACGACTTAGTGTACGCGAAAAGTAGAAATTTAGATGAAAGGCATAAAGGTGATAAAGTGTTAGAAAATCGTTCTTGGGAAAGATTTAAAGCTAAAGACACTCCTCGAAAAGAGAAAGTTGTTGCCTACTTGGTAACAAATGCGATGAAGGCTAAACAAAAAATGGGGATGGGTTATAAAAGTAGACAAAAACAAGCCAGAAAAAAAAATAGTTCATTAGCAGCGAAAAAAGAAGCAAGGTTAAGAAAAATTATAGTGGTAAAAGACAGATTTTGATACCGGGTCAGACAGGAGGTGCGATTCCCTTAGTACCTATTTTTGCAGGATTATCAGCACTTGGTAGTTTACTGTCTGGAAGTGCTAGTGTGTATAATGCAATACAAAATTCAAAAAGAAAAAAAGGTAGTGGATTATATCTGAAGAATAATAGGTTAAGAAAAAAAAACTGATGAATACGCTGCCTAATAGACCACTTTCATCTCAAGATATTATAAAATATGTTGGAGAGTTTAATATTAGTCATTTCCGTGGAATCTTTTCACGTGACGGCTTACCTAAAAAACCGCTTAAAATTGAATGTGGAATATTAAACTTGGATATATCTTCAGGCGATGGAAGTCATTGGGTTGCGTTTTATAAAAATAAGGATAAAGTAACATACTTTGACAGCTTTGGTGATTTACCTCCACCAATTGAATTACAAAAATATTTTAAAGGAAACAAAATCATATATAACTATTCAAATTATCAGAATTATAATTCATTTAACTGTGGACATTTATGTCTTAAATTTTTACAATGTATGAATCAATCACTCTAAGTTTAACCGGGAATGATACTACATTGACTACAAATTATTTTCCGTCTTTAAACGTTAATGAAGACTCAGAAATAGCTTTATTATGTTTACAAACGTTCAATTCATTTCCAAACATAATTTCAACAAATAATAGGATAGACATAGAGTTTTTTGATTATTATTTCTCATTCAATTTCCCAAGAGGATATTATAACATTACAGATATTAACAATAAAATTAAACAACCGATCTTAGACTTCAATAATGAGTATCATATTGATTTAACATTTAATGTAAGTCTTGATCCTATCGATTTTAGATCGGTTATAAAATGTAACTAAACTTTACGGATCCAAACAGTATAGGCTCTGTATTAGGGTTTGGAAACCGAAAATATTATGGATCTTATTATAATATTTATCATTCGGAAAAAGCTGTGAATTTAAACACAATTAACTGTATAAAAGTGATGTGTAATATTGCTCAAGGATCATTCAGTAATCACGTTCAAACTCATTCAATTTACGAGTTTTTCCCTAGTGGGAAAACTGGAACAAAAGTGGTTCAATCACCACCAAACCTTATTTATTATAAATTGAACAAAACAAATATTGATTCAATAACTATTCAATTAGTTGATCAAGATTTAAATCAAATCGATAATTTTTGTGAGACATTAACAATTGTACTACATATTAAACGTTACGGATCTTGACTTGGGATTAAAATTTAATATAAGCCCATTACTTCAGGTTAGACTAGCTAATCATTCGACTAAAGTGTTACCGTCAACATCAAGTAAAGTTAAAAATTTGACAGTGAAAAATAAAAACATTTTAAAGGCGTTAGGCTATAAATTGAAACAGAATGCCTGAAAGCGATATTTTGGATATAAGTTCGAGGTTTGAAACAGATTCTAAAATTACGAAAATTGAATATCATTCATATACACCTTATACGACTTCACTTAATAATAATGATGAAATACGAATATCAATCCAGCAAACAGATGTTTATCCGTATTTGCATGAGAGTTTTATTTTTTTAGAAGGTAAAATATCAGAAGCTAGTGAAGTAAAACTTGCTAATAACGGTTTTTCATATCTCTTTGAACAAATACGACTTGAAATCAATGGAATAGAAGTAGATAGTACTCGAGTACTAGGTATAACCAGCTCGTTGAAAGGTTATCTATCATGTACACCAGATAACTATAACTGTTATGAAAATGCAGGTTGGATTTTTAAAAATAATACAAACCCAGCAAACGCAAATGGTGAATTTAGTGCTTGCATTTCACTGAAATATTGGTTAGGTTTGTTCGAAGACTTTAAAAAAATATTAGTTAATTCTAGATTAGAACTAATATTAACTCGAAGTCATAGTGATCTGAATGTTTTAACAAAAGTTGAACATGAAGATGGAAGTAATACTAATTCTGTAAAAGTCGTTTTGAATAAAATAATTTGGAAGGTACCACATATCACTGTTGATGATAAAGAAAGATTGGAATTATTAAAACTTATAGAAAAAGAAAAAAGTTTGTTTATCCCGTTCAGGTCTTTTGAAACTTTCGAATACCCTGAACTTGGAACCACTAAAAAAGTTGTATGGAACTTGAAAACTGCTTTAAAATTAGAAAAACCTCAATTTATTATAATCGGATTGCAGAAGGGACGTAAAAATGTATTAACAAAAGATTGTAGTGTATTTGATCATTGTAATTTAACAAACGTTAAAGTTTTTTTAAACTCGAATGCTTATCCGTATGATAATTTAAATTTAGATTTTGCAAAAAATAATTTCACCTTATAATATGATATGTATACATCGTTCAAGAATCGTACTATGAAAAAAGTATTCGGAACCCGATATTAAGTCCTTCTACTTTTCTATCAAATGCACCAATTATAGTTGTTGATACTTCAAAACAAAATGATTCGGTTACGGCTTCATCAGTAGATGTTCAATTGGAAATCGAAGCGTCAGAATCTGTTACAGGTGTAACTGCTTATTGTTTATTAATTCATAATCGCATTGTAGAATATGTACCTTTTACTAGAGAAGTAAGAAAGCTTGTGTAATAATGTTTTGAGATTTAAAAAAAAAATACTAAATAAATTAACATATATTAATAAATATATATATTTTTGTTTTTATTTTAACCAGATCGCATCCTATATAATGTTTTTTAGAATTATTATAATTTGTATTACATGGAATTAAATTTTTTTGAAAATACATGAATATGTTTTAAAAAATATCTGTTTTTTTGTGTTACACAGAGACGAAAATGAGTTCAAGGGGGATATTCCCCCTTAAAATTTTAAAATCTCCCTGCCCAAAAGTGCTGTGAACATACAAATACATACTACTTGTGTTACGTACCGTGTTATTTTAACACATATATTATACGGAGAGGTGACGCGTATACCGATGGGATAATATATTCAAACAGTGTAGCACCAACGGATAGGGCGAACACCTGCACATCGTGATATTTAATATAATAATTAAGACTTGATCACACGTCCTGGACTTCTCAGAATAGATGAGTAAACGATAGTGTTAACATTGTACTATTTAATATAACAATTAAGACTTGATCAAACGTCTTGGATTTCTTAGAATCGATGAAATCGCAAGAAAAACACCCAACTGAATAATACATTTAATTTAGAGAGCTCCTTTAGGTCATCGGAAGTCGCCACCTCCCCAGTCACCACTCTTGACGGTTAACCATATATAAGGGAGACCGGGGCAAGAGCTCAGCAGACGGTTAGGGATATTCGAGACGCTCAGAGGCAGGTCGTAACACCGCTCACTCCATCTCGTGCTTATAAAATTGTATTTTTGTACGAGTTAATTGTATTAAATAAAGACTTAATCCTTTAACTTGCAAACATTAGTATTTCTATTATTTCTACGTTGATATATGAATCGACGTTGACATAAGGGACGCAACACATGTCTATACCCATGTAGTGTCAGTAGCTTACATTATTTTTTTTTTAAGTTCCGTAAGATAAGGGCGAATATAACATGAGAAAAATTAAAAAATATTATATAATATAAAAAATAGTGAACTTATGGTTCGTATAATAACGAATCATTACAAAACCAATATAATATAATAATAATACAAAAAAGTGGTAATAACTAATAACATACATAATAATAAAATAATATAGTGATAAGGCTCCCCACATCACAACATCGGGTCTATTAAGGAGCACATATTATTTGTAAAGAGCGCGTACATAGAAAAAGAACGAAAAAGGAGAAAATTTTTAAGTTATAGTACTAATTTAACTACAGATCGAACGATATCTCCAGCTTGAGTAAGCACACGGGCAACGCGGACTCGACCGTCGGTTCCCGGTAACAATTTTACTACACGGCCGAGTCGCCAAGACAACGGGGAACTCTGATTATCTCGGATTATGACTATGTCATCCACATTGATGTTCGGGACATCAGAGGTCCATTTGGACCTTTCTTGAATGGTGGTTAAATATTCCGACGACCAACGGCGCCAAAAGGTCTGATGACATTGCTCTAACAGTTTCCACCTATTAGACAAATAACGGACGGAATTAGGATCTGACCTGGGGGGGATCGCTTACAATGGTTGCCCGATCAAAAAATGTCCTGGCGTCAAGCAATCAAGGTCGTGCGGATCGTTAGAGGCGGGTGTAAGAGGACGGGAATTGAGTACTGCTTCAACACGTACCAAAATTGTTGAAAATTCTTCAAATGTAAAAATATGGTTACCGATGACGCGTACCAAGAGCCGTTTAGTGGATCGTACTGCCGCTTCCCACAATCCACAAAAGTGAGGGGCGCTAAGTGGGTTAAAATGCCAGTCACACGTAGCTCGCGCATTACCGATAGCGGCCTGGTCCTCCGCGCTATGAATAAGCGACTGTAACTGCCTGTCAGCCCCTACAAAATTAGTGCTGCAATCTGAATATATATCGCTAGGTAAGCCTCGCCTTGCGACAAACCGATCGAACGCGGCCAAGAATGCGTCGGTAGATAAATCCGAAACGACTTCCTGATGAATTGCCTTGGTGGAAAAACACACAAAAACGGAAATATAAATCTTATAAATCCGAGATTTCTGCAGTTGCAATTCACGCATCTGTAACGGCCCTGCGTAGTCCATGCCTACGCATGCAAAAGGGCGCTGGGGGCATACTCGTGCACGAGGCAAGTCCACCATCAACGGTTGCAACGGTCGCGCGTCTAACCGAACGCAAATATTACAGTTTGTTATTATTCGGTGCAAAATAGACCTGAGCAACACAATCCAAAATTTACGCGATATTAACGCTGTTAAAACTCGCGGACCCGCATGACACGTCAACACATGCCACCGTCGGCACAATAACAAAGCAAAGTGTGAATTCTTAGCCAACAATACAGGGTGCTTACAATCGTACGTAATTAGCGAATAACGTATTCGACCACCGACGCGAATGACACCGTCGGGGTCAATGAACGGGGATAGTCGCGCTAACGGCTTAGACGATACTCGCGTACCGTCTGATAATTCACAGAGTAACGCGGAAAAATGTACACGCTGTGATTCAATAATTAATATTTTCGCGCCGCCATCCAAATCACATTTACGTAAATATGCGGGCCCATTGTTACGAATAATCTTTCGTCGACAAAACGCGATAAAACGGCGCATATACGCAACTACACGCAACATATGATCGTAATTGGAAAAACGTGTGAACCATTCATTAGGTACGTCGGCAACGAGGGCGGCACAAAATACAGGTTGCAATTCGGGGAGATCACACAACGGAAGCGACGGATGAGATTCGTCCCAAGCCGCTGGGTCGTCGTACGCTATGTGTGGACCACGCCAATATAAATCAAGTTGTGATAACACGGCCGGCATCACATCGCGGGACGCACAATCGGCGGGGTTATTGACTGACTCAATATGTTGCCACTGACAATCTGGCAACAATGAATGAATTTGATGCACTCTATTAGATACATAATTTTTGACCGATTCATAGGGAGCCTTTAACCAAGATAACACGATCATCGAATCCGACCAAGCCCTAATGTCGACAATATTAAGTTGCGCCGTTAAAACATTTCGAATACGGTTTAGCCACCAAGCTAACAACAATGCGGCATTTAACTCAAGACGGGGAATAGTCATTGATTTCGTTGATACTAATTTCGTTTTGGTACCAACCAAAAATACAGATTCCTTCATAGGTACGTCGGCTACGCGCAAATACACGACAGCTGCATAGCCACGTTGCGATGCATCACAAAACCCTAGTAGATAACATGGGGCATTCCGACGTGAATTAAAATGTCGCGGGACGCGAATAGACATTAACGATGGCAAATCAGAAACGAAGGCTGCCCACTCTTCCTGAATGTCCGTAGGAAGTGGTTCATCCCACGACAGACTACTAAGCCATGTCCGTTGCATTATGGACTTAGCTAAAAACACCGCGGGCCCGAACACCCCAAGTGGATCAAAAATTCGAGCTATTAATGACAAAATACCGCACTTGGTATACACAGGTGATTACTCAAGATTTAACGCGCAACACAAATAATCTCCGTTGGGGTGCCACTCGAGTCCGAGCACCTTAGTACCCTGACCGTCAACCGTTTCGAACGACATCGGTGCGTGCACGCGGTCCGCGGCTGGAACTGCATCCAAACCCGATGTAGTGTTCGAAGACCACTTCTTAAGCGTCATTCCAGACCGATTCAATACATCAATTAAATCGGATTGAAGCTTTAATACATCAGCAATAGTATCAGCCCCGTCACATATATCGTCTACGGCGCGTTAACGCATAACGCACCCACTCAGGTCCGGATTTATAGAATAATGGGCCCTGGGGCAAATAGTTAAAATGGGCCCCATTAAGGCACCCAAAATGCAACTCAATAAATAATCTAAAATATTTTTAAATTGTTTAGATGTTATATAGATAAAAAACATTTAAAATCAATAGTTGTAATTATTACACATAATATAATATTTAAAACGACCATAAGTTTTCTTTTCTATATTCAACCAAAATAGTTATTAAATAATTTATACATTATGAATAATTCACATTATTATAAGTACTCTTATTTAAAACATTTTTTTCTTGATTTGTCACTAGCAAAAGTTAGCATAGTTTCTTGAAAATCAATTGATGATAACAAATCATGTTCCGAAGATAAAATTATAAATGATTTTAAGGATTCTTGAGTCTGACTAGTTCTAAACATATTTTTTATGCGTGCCAACTTTGAAAATGCCCATTCAGCAGAACAATTTGCGACAGGAATTGTTAAGTATAATCGAATTGCAATTAAAATATTAGGAAATACATCTTTTATTTTTGTTTCTTCAAACCATTCTAATATTTTATGCACATTCGAAGCATCAAATGGTGGCTTACTGAGATCCCAATATTCTCTAAATTGAACCAACTCATTTTTTATAGAAGGTTCTACGTCATCTTTATACATAGAAATAAAATTGTCCAAGTTTAAGTTAATATCATTATCTGGCTGAATATTTAACTTAGTGATAAATAAAAAATGCTGAGATACATAGTTATATGCGGCGGTTATCCTTTTATCTAATTCTGTTACAAATTTATCTACAATCATTATATGTGTTTCTACTCTAAATTTGTCAATATCTTTTAACTGAGTTGATTTTTGAGATCCACTAGTACACTTTCTTTTAATTTGTCTTTCATTATCTTCATTTTTAAAATGCTTTTTTAATTTTAAACGTAGTTTTGTAGTTTGATTTTCATAATTTTATTGTCATACAAATCTCTTAGATTAGCCACATAATTTTTCAAAGATATAAGTAGGTTAACTGCTTTTAATGGATCAATCATCTTGCTCTGAAGTTCAACAGATATTTTATTGCACCGTTCTAATATGTCATTCCATAAAATAGCCAAATATCCGGTTTCTTTTTTTAGTATAGATATTTTAAAATTTTTGCATCTCGTTTAGTATCACCATTTTCAGTATTACTATCGAAAATGACTTCCAATATATTAATAATGGTATTATAATTTTTTATCAAAGCATTACAAGCATCAAAGTGACTAGACCATCGTGTTTTACTTAACGACTTTAATACATTTGGTTGATTTTTACTATTTTTTTCTAATTTTTCTGTTAAAATTGTCCAACGATGTAGAACCACTAAAAAAATTGTATAACATTTGAACAAATCCAAAAAAAACTCACCGCTTCGATGCAACAATCTACACTATGCACACCATCTAAATTTAATGAGTGAGCAGTTCATGGAATATAGACGGCTAAATTATTTTTATTTTTCACATAACTTTGTAAACCTTCATACTTGCCGCTCATATTGGCAGCATTTTCATAAGACTGGCCCCTACAATCTTCAATATTTAGTCCGACATTCTTTAAGTAATTTTCTAATATAAAATATAATGACTGATCTTTATGATCTGCTGTAACACGGGGACGACGCCTACGTTTCAGTCGGGGATGGGATCGGCAATACTTGATCTGACGCTTGCGTCGGTGAGTGCTGCCGAATGTTCACGAGTGGAAGGTGCCGAATGCGGTTATCAGCGATCATCGACTGATCGCCGCCCTGCTGCGATGCAACGAGGATGGGCAAGACGCATGGGAACGTAAAGGTTCAATGTCCGAAAGCCGATTGAATGTTTTCGCCAGCGTTCGCTGAGAGACCGTTTGACGTCGTCAATCATGCTATTAGAGGGGATATACACCCAGAAAGCGGATTACCTAATCTCGGCCTTTGACCGAAGCACGTAAGAAGTCGGACATGACAGCGCCCCATGGACTCAAGATAGCAATACGTAACTGAACGCAGCGTCAGG